AAAGTTGTAACCGTATCTTTAAAAATGATGCACACCTGTAAACTCACGAGTATATTATTATTGTTGTTACTACGGTGTGATGACGTCAGGCCACATACGAAGAAATTACCGCTTGATTTCGTAACAGTTTACCCACCAGAGGACGCTAGAGTAATGAAGTTTCTGGGTCTTAAAGCCTGCACTTTATTGAAAATCACGGGTCCTATTTCATAAAACCTTTACTTACTGAATTTACCAGTGCATTTACACCCATTTTTGATGATAATTGCCGCAAGCCATAACTCATTCTTCTGTAGCAGACATCTTCAGCTGGAAGCATCAATCCGTCTAGCAAACAGGTTCAGTCTAGCATGATATTGATGTTTCTCAGGAGGCAAAGATTATTGCAGCCAGATTTCGATGAAAGCCCGTCCGATGAACTTTCCCACAATCGGCACAAAATATATCTCACCATATGTGATGAAGTAACCTCGATATCCCTGCTTGTCAGAAATTTCTTCACTACTCTAAGGTGCCGCCGTAAGACCTGGCGGAAGTTTGATACAACTCAGTGAAAATGCCATAGATTAGAGCCTCTTGAAAGCCCGTATTCTGTGTATTTTCCACCCTCTGCAAGTCATCGCCTCATCCATTCCGGCAGGTTTTGTTGAAAATGGTTGCATAGTAATTAGAAAAAATGATGGAGCAGCAACTGGAGATGATGGAACTGCTTGTCGGTCTACGTGCCACTCCGCCTACCTCCACACCATCATTTTTGGATGGGGTAATTGGCTGCAGTACTTCGGGGTTTATATACGATCAAGATGCCGACATCACTTTGGAAACATGGCTTCGACGACACGAAGAACTGTTCGGGGCTTATTTCGCAAATCAAGACGACGCATGGAAAGCTGAACCTCTACTCCGAAAGCTTGGTCCAGTTGAATTGGATAAATTTCGCTACCATCCTTCAACAGGACCCATGTGACAGGAAATTTGATGAGACAGAAACTTTGCGTCAGCAGTTTGGAGAGAATGGCTCATTTGCCACCGCTCGCTACCGCTGCATGAAGCTGGTACTAAATGAAAATGATGATATCTATACCCAGCTTGGCGCTGTGAACGGAGCATGTGTACTATTCAAGCTGGAGTTGCTAATACACAAACAACTCAAAGTGCTCGTATTCATTTGTGCTCTTCGGCCCCCGAAATTCGCAGATACATGCACTCACCTACTAAATCTTCTGGAACAAGAAGCGAAGATGATGTTGAAAGATATTGGTGAGCAGTACCACCGATTAACTGATTTTAGTCAGGATATCACCCTGATTCAAACTGCTGACCAGAACGAGACGGAAGTGCAAGCACCCACCCAGGTCTACATCAAGTAATGCGGCTTAAGTACCCCTAACCTCCTGGGACAGAGGGATTATCTGCTAGTTTTCTCTGCAGACTTTTGTGTCTAAGTTTCCACTGCCAGAGATCAAAGGAAATGTGACTTGAGGCTCGGGAAGTTCTGCTTGGCATAAAGGTGACAGACCACCTGGTCCAGGTTCCAGATAAGAGATATTAGGAGGAGCTCACAAGAGAGATTGGTCGGAGCACCCCCGATAATTTTACATGGCAACAACATGACAAATCGTTTCTGGCTGAAGTAAGGCATCATTGAGACTATAATTATGAATGGTTGAACTTGGATCGGTCAAGACTAACAGACGTCATAAATGTCCTAGCAGTTGGCAGCGACATTCATGGAGCATGTAACATGAGAGTCAGGCTCAATGGAATGGACCAACAAACGCATCTATGCAGAACACTTGAATTACAATAATGGAGCCTCGTATGCTCTGATTAAGAAGACGAACAAACTTTCAGCCAGGGCTCAAGACCCTGGCGACGTGGAGATTCACGACGCTAGGCCAAAGGTAGCCCACCCACAAGTAAAAGTTGTCTCGGAATTCAATTCAGGCAATTCCTTGGGGGACTGTGTACCGCCTTCTCGTTGACAGCCTAGAGGAGCTGAACACCCCTGTCGGGCAAATAAACCATATTCACACTTGGCTACTTGACTTCCATAGGGGTTTCCGAAGGGCAAAATATGGCTTTTCATCCAAAAACTTCAGCCTATAGAAAAACATAGAGAGCTTCTTCGCCGGCTGCGATCATTTAGGATCAGCTGATCCTTATCTTATGAGATCGCCGCGCCCGGTGGGTGCCCAACGGCCTTATTCTCGGTTGAGTTAGGTTTTTTTCCTCCATTAATCACCTGTTGGCTATTCCAGATCCTCAGGTGCTTTTACACACCGATGATCTTGGCACTTGAGGGGAAATACCACAACCAATAGACACTAGCAGGATCTGTCCAAGATCTAAGTACATACACGCGAAAACTCGCCCTCGCCCAAGGGATAGAAGTGTTATTATAGTAGGCATGGATTGGTCTAGTTCTGGTCCTAACCGCGTGGGTTAGTTGTGCATCTCGTTTACTCTCCTGCTGAGAATGTTCCTTAGCTTAACCTTAGTGAATGCCTAGGAGTCGGCTTGCAGAGAATAGGGTTTGTAGACTTTCACGGTTTCTCCCGACAAACTTAGAATGACATGCGCATCAAATATGTATCAAACATTTAGGCTACATATACAATTACGCCAAGGGAAGGGAGGAAGAAGTCGGCAACCTGCCATTATTTCAAACGTGGAATACGGAAGAAGAGATCAGCCTAAGGGGCAAGCGCTCAGGTACACTCATGTGACTACCAACACTAGTGAGACAAATCACACCTACTCTAACGTTTGATCATACAGCCAACAATTTCAGTAATCCTAACACATCCATAGAAGCCTCAGCCACAAACCTCGTCTAGCAGGCAGCCCAATGATATCAGATCACCGGACCACGTAGACAGAGGTTCACGCTTATCCATGTGTGAATGGGGTCCGAAAACTTTGGAAATCCCCACCTGAAGCAGTTCCGCGCCTCATCCTGACGTATTCAAAATGAAGTTGTACGTCGACTCAGGGTTATATCCTAAAGGCTTACTGTACTCTATAAGCTTGCTGTAATTTTAGGTACCATAGAATACAACGATTCCCGCAAAGAACTACGAATTAACAACTATTCAGCTCTACCACTCCAGATTTTCAAGAATTGAGACTAGGGTTGTAGCTGCTTTGATAAAATGTCCTTAAAAACGGAAATGTGGAACACAGGTAATGATTGTTGTCTATTCTAACCACACTGAACGTTTCGTTTCAGGTCGCGTGAAACCATTTGTTAGGTAAAGACTTCGTAGCTATGGACACTGGACACTTTACTGCTCATACTGTTCAAACTGCCACGAAGCCTGGCAGCCGTCAACAACTGAAAACCATTATCAGGAACGATACTATTCATATGTCTCAAGGTAGCTTTCGAGCGGGTGGTAGTGTGCCGCCACTCCGGGACGAATGCACCATTAGTTGTGACCTAAGGAAACCGGCCCACTTCCTAGAGCAGCATATCGTACTAGAATTCAAGCAAAGGACACCAAAAACTCGGGCGCCCCACGAAACAATCTCAGAGCCGCTTAGACTCCAACAACCCGGCATAATTTTCAGAACTTAATCAAATACGGACGGTGGTAAAAGAGAAAGCCAACTACATAGTACTGCAGAAATGGTTGTCAGATAAGGAACTGGATTTGGAAAAGTGTCAAGCAATGTACTTCAGAATACATAGAGCAAGAACAGCCGAACATGAACACACATAAAAGTTGAGTTATCATGTCTGATCAGATTGTTCATGGCAAAGCACCTGGGCTTCAGCTTCTCTGCATCTCCCAAAGCTAGCTTGATCCACTGGGGATGGCTGCAAAGATGTAGGTTATTCCACATGTCCTGCATTCATAGCTCATACCAGATCTCTTACCGACAGCTTTCAAAACTTATATACTGACGCGTCTGGAAGTACTCAATGCAGTACAGCCTCCAGGATTCGAGTGAAACTCCAATATACCGCCACGGAGACACGAACAACCGTGTCGGAGAAGGTTATTTTACTAGGGAAAACTGTATTTTGACCATCTGAGACAGGATATTTTTGCCTCAGGTCATCTCGAAAAGAAGGGTGACATGATTACGGAGCATAAATATGTTTCCCAAGCCAGTCACGCAAAGAAACCAATCTCGCTAACCACATGAAAGTCACCATGAGCTTATCTTATCAGAAGAGCAGACGAAACAACCAGTACTAGGCTCAGGTTAAACTTCCTGCAACCAGGAGTACGTGCCTTGTTCAAATGGTTCAAGTGGTGTCTGACTGACTAGAGGAAGCTCCACCACTACTAGCCGTTCTTCGTGTGTTTCGGACCTAAGTCTTTGAATAGACTTCGCCGAATGCTTTTGAATGCGTTATAAGCTTAGTTTGCCCTTCCGGAGAGAAGGGGGTAAGACGATGATCGCTTTACTAATTGCTTTATTGTTAGACATATTTACCGCCCTCTCAGTGTTAGTTTAGAAGCCTGAAAAACTATATCACCTCACAATGCTAACCAGCAACATAATCAGCAAACGAATAAACTCAGTAGCCTCCGCTATCTCAATACTAGCTTCGTTTCATTTGTTTCATAAAATCTGCTTGCTTTGACTTGTCTGTCATCCGACTCCTCTCAATTAACTACACTGAGCCCATCTTCGTTTTCTTTTCGAAAGCATCCCGTGCACCAGCTTACCATCATTCCGTCATTCGTCTACACAAGTGCATACAAACAGAAGTCAAGAAAAATTTCCCATGTTTCCAACAGCTCGTACCATCTTAATCAACTCAGTCTGCAATTTGCAAACACCAATTCACGTAAAGCACACCTCACTACAAGCAGAAGAGGTCAGAATGCATACAATGAGAGCGAAGGGAAGAGCCAGGCCCAGAACCTCTACGTCTATGCTCAAAAACTGTCAGTTTTATATGCTCAATACTGTTGTTGGATATTGGAGTTGAGCCGAAGCGCCCAGTTTCTTGTCAGGGTCGTATTGGGACGAGTGGTAACATGACTGTATGGCAAAGCTATATCATTCAGTTCCTAACGTTTTTTTGCAGGAAGATATTGAAGTTACTCATGAAGACCAGCAAAGAATAAACAGCTTTGCGACATGGAATCTAAAGTTCAAGGATTATACATCGGATTATGAACAAAAGAAGGTTTGTGTAGATATTTGAAGCTATAAACACATTTTTAGAAAGAATTAGCAAATATTGATGATGCTGAAGACGAGTTAATTGTTGTTGACGAAAGCACTCATCCGTATCCTTTACTTCTGCAAGTCGTTATATAAATATATTTACATAACAAATACACATGCATGTGTATTTACAAATATATTCACGACTGCACTAACCAAGAATGCACTCTGAAAGTTATATATAGAACGTCATACGAAGTCATTAGAGTAATGGTTACCTTAGTTTGATGTTTTCTGGGCTAGTTTATACATACACAAGTGCTTATAAGAACCCAGCTATCGTCCCAGACCTACCTCGGGCGCACTCAAACCTTGAGTAAGTCCCCCAATTATCTCTCATTCTCTTTCTGTTAAGGTGACTGTTGCGAGGGATCTTACCTACTAAAACTCGTTCCGCTAAAAAAAAGTGCTACATCGAAGCATATTGCGAAGGGATTTCATTTTTATGGATGTAAAGTGATCCCATATGCACTCCGAGTGCATTGCCGAGACTTTTGAGAATAGCTAACTTTTGACGTTCTCAGGAAACTGCTTTGATGAAGAGTACGAGTATTTCCAGGAAAGATACTCACTCTTATTTGTGCCCTAGTGATCCTTTTAGGGTTTTGGCTCAAAAATCTCAGTGAGGCGAAAGTTAATCCTACCTGAGATATACATATTTGGTGACCATAGAGTTTGCTCCGGTTAAGTGAGAGATATCATTGTGGACTGCTACTTTTCATTGAAATAGAGATAACTACCGTGACCTACAGTCACTGATTAACATTGTTGGCACCCAAATGTATTTTTAATATCTTCAGGAGACGCCTGTGTTGCATCATTCTCCATGAGAGGTGTAGTCTTGTGCGAAGTTTGAGTCAACCTAGTCTTACAAATGTAACCTTTTACTGGGCATGATTCCATCTAGCGTCAATACTAGGGGCATATTAATTAGCATTAGCATGCCACCTGGGATAGATGCGTAATGGCTAGAGTCCCATCCACCCATCCAGATCAACGTGGGACCAGGCATTACTGCGTAACGGTCTGAGTTGCCACACATCAGTACATCAAGTAAAAAGCCAGTGAAGCGCAAGATGAAGATAAGAGAATGCAGCCAAAAGAAACAAAGTGCGAAAAGAGAAACGAGGAATGAGAAAGTGGTGAGAATCGGTATAGCGTCGTTAAGATGAGGATAGCTGCTACCTTGACGTGGTGGTCGGGCTTGCATTTCACAATAACCCAACTAGCTATGCTGGTGGAACACTTGTTCCCTCGAGGTCCTACCATTCCAGAAGGGTCTGTTGAATAGTGGTTAGACGAAAAGCAGTTACCGTTATGCTGTACATTACTACATCATGATGGGGGTCTGAGGGCGGAGTCCTACTGCTGTTGGCTGGATGGGGTGTGACAGCAGTAAGGTGTTTCCCTTGGATAACCAGCAGTGCCATGCTGATGCTGCCTTCTCAATGGAAGGGGTATTAAACAAGGTTGGCCCCAAAAATAACACTACCATACCCCATGGTCTGCCGGGCGGCGGTGTTGGTTCATTTGTCGTTTCTTTTCCACCATCCGGCCCCAAAACAACAAAAAAATCAAAATGGTTCGAGTTGCCACAACTCATACGAGAACATTAATATAGAAGGCAAAAAGATAAAGGCAAGTTAAGGAAAAGCAGTCAGGAGCGGTGGAGAGTTTGGAAAATAGAATAAACAAAAATGCAACTTAAATTCACTTTTTATACAAGCCATATCTTAGTGGGGCTACCATCTATGTGACCTTGAACATAAGAGACATTCGCCACGCACACCTATGAGAACTCAGGTGAAGACTGTTTCGTTTGGAAAGTTTCCCAGCTCAGTAGTATGGTTTTCAGTGAATAAATGTATAAATTACCTGCACAACTTAGACTTTTATGGGTGTTTCTGTACCAGAGTATGAACCACACTTATTTTGTTGATAGTCATTATATTTCTTGGTTCTGCAAACCGTCAGCACTCATTCAGTGGTACATTTTTAAGAAGTGAATCCGGAGTTTTTCGCTACCCTTGAAGTAACCAATCTGTAGCAAAGTGGTACTTGCATCAAACACGTGGTAGTCATCGATCACCCTTAAGATGCTGGGATACTTCACTTAATTATTAGTTGAGTGACACCAGTTTTACGGCTCTAAATTGCCAGTTTCAAAAATTGTAGTTTTCAAATTTTAGGTCCAGATGTTTTACCTAGTTTCAGGTTTGCAACAGCTTTCTGAGCTTCGAGGACAGTTGAAGAGCCTACACTTACGTCTCAGTCAAGTCTCAACCTAATGAAGGCTTGGAAACTGAAATGTTGCTATGGGCCAGTTAAACTGTGCTTCAGTGTCTCGCCCAACGTTTTAGTAGCCTATCCTGAAAAGTTTTCAGGCTCACATCTTTTCTCGTGTTAATCTCACTAAACTATCGTCTCTTTTGCCACTATCCACAAAGTGCCGAGTATTATATAATGCTGATCTCAATACTTTCACCACCCACCACTGTTCGCGATCATCGTAGAAATTCCCAGTCTATTTATGTTTCAGCTGCTTTCGTTCCTTAACGTGGTCAGACACTTCAAATGAGTCTCCTCAGTTCGGATGACATTGCGGAAATCCACTGGTTTTTGCCAACCGTTAGATGTACGTCACCAACCACTTTCTACACAAAAGTGAATATCATAAAGGCTTCATCATGATGAAAATTGCTGTTATGTCCGGATAAATACTTAGCTATCTTCTTCCTAAGCACACAATCAACCTTCTGATTTTCCAGTCGAGCACACTGGCTTCTCTGCAGCCTGTTCTCTGCTACCAGTAGGGCGCAAACATACACGTGCCTCTACTAACGCGTGATCAGAGCTCAAGGAACTACTACACAGAGAGCGGCAATCCTCCACCGATCCTCTCCAACCATGGCTTATACCAGTATGATATATTTGTGTCCATTGTTCGTTTGATATTGGTGGAGGCAGTATCTTTCATTTATCTTCGAGTTATTGCTGACCAGAAACAAATGATTGTCAGAACAAAATTGCAGCAGACGATCACTATTGTTAGTTCATTGGCACAGAATTCTGTAGATCCGTTCAAGATGGCTTTCCGATTTGCTCAGTTTTCCTACTTGAGCGTTAAGGTCGCCTGCCATTATGACTATATCTGAACGTGGGCATCGGTGACTCTGACAGCCGTTTCAAGTCCTTACAAATGCATCCAGTCAATTTGCTGATGAGTGCTACAAGCACGATGCCTAAGGACAAAGCTTTCTGCTGACTGCCCCCGATACATCTACGACCAACTAATAAAACTTTCTGAGCCGGTGTACAAAACTTTAAAGTTAACTGTTTTTTGATTTCCTATGAGTTACATTTTATACCTCATGGACTTTATGAAAACAAATAATAGCCTTAACTACTAAAAAGATATATCATTGGTGAGACGTTTTTTCACTTACCTAGTGATAAGATTTCAGAGGAGCTTTCAGCAGCTAAAGAAAAAGTACAGTTACACATTTTGGACCTTGGAGAACGCATCAATGACTGTAAAGTGCACATGAGTAAATTAAAAAAAGAACTGTATGGTAAATTTGGGAATCATATAAACCTTGAAGAGGATTAATATACAAATGTCCTCTTATTGTTTTCAAAGTGTGTTGAATTTGTAAATACAAAATTTAATAAATAGAGGTTCTTGTTGAAACTGCTGATAATGGACTGTGTAAGCGGTCGGGGAGTACTAATTACCCACACACTCCCAGCGTAATACAAAAGTCATCTAACCGTAGCCTGCTGTTTACACTCCTATATCTCGCTCTAGCTTGATTATTAGTTTACGTTTTCGACAATACCATCAAGTTCCTACTCTGCACCCACTGTTAATGGTCTGTGCCTGCGAAACGCAATTTCTAATCTCTTAAAACCACACTGAAGCTTCCTACTTCAAATTGAACATATCTCACTCGCAAAGCTATTAAAATGATAAGAATGTATAGGTTTCCTGGGACAGGCAAGCAGTTCAAGTGGTTATCCATTTGACCTGGCCAGTATGGTGAATCTGCAAAATCTAATTCGTGATTTCTCGGATATTTGATGAGTAGTTCAAGTGCATTCGTTGTTGTATGTGTAATATTAAGTTCCAGAGCAGGTAGCAAACCTTGAATGTTTGTTGACAACCATCCATAGACGAAAGACTCGTTCCAGACAGTTGACCTTAATCCAATGAGTGAGCGGTTTCAACTTCACGCTACCTGCTGAGCCAACCAGAGAGTATCATCAGCCCCCAAACGGTAGGTGTGGCTAGAGTCCTAGTACACGAACTTGCATACATATGAGTAGATGTGAAAGAAATAAGGTGGGTTGACACATCTTTGCATGTGCACTCACTGAGTGCAGATCTGAAAAGTAAGTTTTAGCAAAAGCTTTCACTTTCGCGACAAATTTAGTCCAGATTTAGTCATACTAACAGCTGGTATCAATATTCATGTAGGGAAGCTGAGTCATTCCTAAAGGATTATTGGATATCCGAGGAAAAGACAACAGTGATCGTCCCCTACAACATTATTTTGGTAACCATTTGTTTTCGAACAGTAATTCAAACATAAGGGTAGACTTAATCTACTTGGCATACGTTACCATCATGCTAACTGTATACTCTATCGCTATAAGCCATTGTTAAAGAGGATCCGTTATGGTTTGCTGTTGTTTTTGTTAACGACAGTAATTGGAAATATGGGAAGAAACAGGTTAGTGGTGGCCACATAAAACATGATAGGAACCTTAAGTGAAACCTTTCTAAGGTCTATAGTGGCTTGAGCTATTTAATAAACACCGACTCGAAGGAATTGTATTTTTCTGTGCTCCGAATCTTATCGGAGTTAAGACTGTTCCAAGCCAGAAACCATGCAAAGCAGGAACACCGAGTGGTTTTAAGCAGACATCTTTAGGGATGGAGGGGTTACCCTACTGATTTGAGGAGTTGAAGAACTAGCTAGGGCTCTGAAATCAAGCAGTTCTGTCAAACTAACCTAGTTTCATAAAAATGGGAGAAAAGTATAATGATCATATGAGAATAAGTGTGACCAACATCTTACACAAGATCCTGGCGTCCAGATTCATCCAATGTAGAAGCTGGAAGACAACCAACTAAAAAAGAGGTTTTAGACCTGGACTACACCACATTTGTCAGATCTTCACTTCCTATGGGTTTGGGGATTTAGGTGTTCTTATTAGTACCCATGGCATCCGACAAAAGCAGAAGTGCAGCCCTGGACGTCATAAAGTTGATGAAAACCGGGAAAGCACCAGAAGCACTGAAAACACGCAAAGGCAACAGCGGACATGCTCACACCACTATTGCAGAAAGTTTGGAAGGAAGGGAAGTCACCTGCCGATTGTCAAACCCCCAAAGAAGGGAGACCTAAGTCTTTGCAGGAGCTGGCGCGGAATCATGCTCCTATCCACCCCAAGCAAAATACTAAGCCGCATCGTACTGGAGAGACTAAAAGATGCACTAGATTCAAAATTACGACGGGAACAGGCTAGCTGGCTTCAGGCAGAACAAATCATGTACGGATCGAATTGAAACGCTACGCCACACATCATTATAGAACAGAGCATAGAATGCCAGTCAACTGGGTCTCTACCTTAACTTCATCGACTTTGAAAAGGCCTTCGACGGCGTCGACCGAGAAGTAATTTGGCAGGTAGCTGCTTCAACACTATGGTTTTAGTGTCACAAACCTTTATCAACCTCATTCAGCAGCTATATGACGACTCCACATGCCGAGTGATTCACAATGGAAAGCTAAGCGATGCGTTTGAAGTGAAGACAAGAGAAAGACAAGGTTGCCTACTATCACTGATGATCTTCCTGATTGTGGACGATTGGACTGAACTATGCCATAAACTGTGAGGGGCGAGAAGAAGGGTATTCGCTGGCTGGACCGATGAAAAGACCCTAGAAGATCTGGTTTTCTCCGATGATTTATGTCTAATTTCGCACAAACTCGAAGATCTACAGGCAAAAACTAAGAGGTTGACAGAAGAGGTAGCGAAGACGGGACTTCAGGGGAACGTAGAGAAGACGGAGGTGATGAAGATACCCAACCAACAACAAACACCAATCTTCATCAACGGGAGAAACCTAAAGGAAGTAGTCTTTTTCACCTACCTGTCTAGGCAGCATCGTTTCAACTACAGTTGGAGGCACAGATGAGGATGTCAAAGTCAGGATCGGAAAGTCACCAAGACAGGCCTTCATTAACCTGAAATCAGTGTGGAGATCTACTGCACTCAGCATAAAGCGTGAACAAGATCCGGATTTTCAACACCAACGTCAAGCCAGTGCTTCTATATGGTTGAGAGACTTGGCGCGTTACAAAAAGCACTTCCAACAAACTACAGACATTCATCAACAGTTGCCGCTTGCGCTCACTCGATACTGAAGATCAGATGGCCAGAATAAGCAACAAGGAGCTCTGGCCGGGCAACGAACCAACCAAGAACCTATCCCCCGACAAATGTGCAGAAGAGAGTGGGGATGGAACGGACTGGGCATACACTGAGAAGGCCATTTGAGGACATAATGCACCAGGTCCTCGAGTGGAATTCAAAGGGGAAACGACGAGTTGGGCGTCCGAGGGTGCAATGGAGGAGATCGTGTTTAGAAGAAATGAAAGCTTGTAGGCAGTCGCGGAGCCAGGTTGAAAAGACTGCAGAGAAGAGAGTGACATGGTGAGGTGCTACTGAGGCCGCACGTTTCACTGGAACCCAAAAAGGAAGTAGTAATATTATTGATGCCCATGTCTGACTAGGATTTAGGTAACGGACAAATAAAGTATATGGCAAAGGTTGGTCCGTACTTGAACTCAAGTGGTTCTAGAAGGGTCTACGGAGAGTTGAAAGCTGGTGATGTCCGTTAGGTTTGTCAACTATCACCGTTCTCATGTAAATTTGTTGTAGACGTGGTGGTGCAAATAATCTAAACATGTCGAAATTCCAAGCGACTGACTTTCTAAAGTTTACCTGGCTGACCAGGGTTGCAAAGACGACACAGTCCTAATAAGTAGGATCTTTTGAACCCTTTCAGCACCAATCTCTTTTTTTTATTCTTTCTGACCTGTCAAATATGGAATTTTGATAACGCTATTAGAAGACGAAGATTATCTGAAAAATGTGATGTATTTGCGCAATACATTTCGAACAATCTGATCACTCATTTACTTGTCAAGTCAATTTATATATGAAAATTAAAGGTCAAATATAGTGAATATGAAAAGGTTGTGACACTAGTCTTGGTAACATAATCAGATAAGGATTACCAAGGTAAATTAAGTGAAACAACAAACTGTTTTTGTACACACAGCGGGGGATTAAGTTTACGAATGGCTAACGCTTCGGCAAACTTCAGTATACGCCCCTGATTATTCCTGTATATTATCTTAAACGCTGTTTTCGTATTAACCCTGTGATTCATTTCAATAATATGTTTTGCTATAGATGACGATGGATGTCTGTCACCTGCACTTATCAAAGTTTGTGTGTTAAACTGTTTTTCTAGCCATTTGGGGATGTGTTCACCCACCCTAGTCTGCATTGAACGATTACTCCTCCCGATGTATGTGTGCCCACACATACATGTAAATTGGTTTTTTTTTTTTTATGTGATGTAATCATTTGTGCGAGGTTGAGGTTTGTGGTGAAGCAGGTGTTTTGTCGTCTCAACAATTATAAGCTGAGCTGCATAGTATGTTTTACTGATAACAGATTTTAATCTCTGCTTCAATATCATACTACTTGTTTCCCCTCTGTATGGTACTTTAAGAAATATGCTTTTCTTCGGGACCGAGGAAACTGTAGGCTTTGGGGTCAACTGTTTTTTACAATGGTTGACAAACTGTAATGGATAACCGTTTTCCACTAGAGTGTCTGTCAGAAACTTATTCTCATCATCCATCGTATCAGATGTACAAATACGTTGGAGGGAAGATGGATCTATAAAACGATCAATATATAGGAAGTCTACTTGGACAGGACAGTATTTGAATTTTCATAGTTTTTGTCCGATGAAATATAAGAGAGGCTTAGTAAGATGCTTGTTCAATAGAATCCAACGTATTTGTACATCTGATACGATGGATGATGAGAATAAGTTTCTGACAGACACTCTAGTGGAAAACGGTTATCCATTACAGTTTGTCAACCATTGTAAAAAACAGTTGACCCCAAAGCCTACAGTTTCCTCGGTCCCGAAGAAAAGCATATTTCTTAAAGTACCATACAGAGGGGAAACAAGTAGTATGATATTGAAGCAGAGATTAAAATCTGTTATCAGTAAAACATACTATGCAGCTCAGCTTATAATTGTTGAGACGACAAAACACCTGCTTCACCACAAACCTCAACCTCGCACAAATGATTACATCACATCCTTTTTTTTTTTTTAATTTACATGTATGTGTGGGCACACATACATCGGGAGGAGTAATCGTTCAATGCAGACTAGGGTGGGTGAACACATCCCCAAATGGCTAGAAAAACAGTTTAACACACAAACTTTGATAAGTGCAGGTGACAGACATCCATCGTCATCTATAGCAAAACATATTATTGAAATGAATCACAGGGTTAATACGAAAACAGCGTTTAAGATAATATACAGGAATAATCAGGGGCGTATACTGAAGTTTGCCGAAGCGTTAGCCATTCGTAAACTTAATCCCCCGCTGTGTGTACAAAAACAGTTTGTTGTTTCACTTAATTTACCTTGGTAATCCTTATCTGATTATGTTACCAAGACTAGTGTCACAACCTTTTCATATTCACTATATTTGACCTTTAATTTTCATATATAAATTGACTTGACAAGTAAATGAGTGATCAGATTGTTCGAAATGTATTGCGCAAATACATCACATTTTTCAGATAATCTTCGTCTTCTAATAGCGTTATCGAAATTTATTAAAGGGACCAATTGTTTCAAATATAGAATTGTGTTTTAGAACTGGTCTGTGCCGACTCTTATTTCGAGGATGGAGAGTGTAGTGGTGAAATTTGTTGATTACTCCATCTACTTGATGGGTCGCCTCAGAGTGATCTGGTTGATTATTGGCAGTGTCAACTTGAATTCAAAAGGCCTATTTAGTAGTTGGCGATTATGGTATGAACGACACATCCAAATACCTATAGGAAGATGAGTAGATTGTGCAAACACTCCGCTGTCTTACTGTACGACTATGACGCATGGTCGTTGAAAGTAAAAGATATGGCGATGCAGCAGGCCTCAAAACAGGTACATTCGTATCTTTGCTCTTGTATGGTGGAACCACCATATGAGCACCGATGTTACGAGATGAATAGTATCAGATGAGGAATCCAAGTTAGTCAGTTACACTGAATATCTTCAATAACTGAGGATGTGACATATTTGTCATACAGATCAACTACCTAGTCAGTCAGAAGCTGATAGCAGAGCGAATCTCAGCGCGCGATGTCAACCGAAGTACGACTAGGTTTGATAGGAGTTTTAGGTGAGTTAACCAAGGCATTCACTTTTTGACCAGCGGCCTAAGTCGTACAAAGGAATTTAAGCTATCGAACTTGAGACCTGAAGACTATAGGAACCAATGGTTGGTGGTTACTAGTGATATGGCTCACAGTCAGTCATAATAAGATAAACATGTACTCTGTCTATCATTCCAAAATTTAGAGCACTTTTTTAGCCATTTAGTTATTTAGGTTTACTCTCCGTTCAACTACTCTTTCTTTGTTACGGCGAAGCTTAGGCATTAGAGCTGATGCAATTGTTTACGAAATTCTACGTTGATCTATCTATTTGACAGACGCATATATTTATATGTATTGTTTCTATGAAACTGAACAAATGGAAGACTGATTTCCCCACGGATACAAAGTTTGTAGTATTTCAGATTATGGAATATGTAGAAAATAAACTCGCAAATCAGCCACGACCAACAACCCTTCACTCAGCAACCTTGCGGACGTCCGTGCAGTGGGTGGTGAGCCATGCATATTGTGTGAGGACTAATGATACTACCTGGCTATCTAAACCTCGGGAAGTGCTCAAACCCGTGACCCCTCCGTAGCATACGTAGGTTCAGCAGGAGAACCCTACCGTGTTTGAATATTGATTTGTGCCTTGGCTAACTACAGTTGCATCTCAGCAATCTCTAAACAGATGTTCTACTAATAAATACGTTCTACATGAGTCAGTGAAACAAGAAAACGTCAAGCAAGCATTTGTTGACTGTGGAGATTACTATTTGTAGATTAGCGTGAAATATTATTTGACATTGCTTACAACTCCAGAAAAAGCTTTTGTTATGATGTGAGTATCACCACTGTTATTGTATATGTTGAATATTCCCAGTAAATATTTGTGGTGTTCAACTTAGTTTCACAATTCGGTCAGTTTGCTAGTTTCTAAATGCTACATCCATAAAATGAGATGGATGTTCACTGCCTAAGGAAGCTAGTACAAATAAAAAGATTTTTAGGTTGGAAACATGTGCGATAGCTTTAAACCTATGGCATAATGCTTAGGGGCTCGTACTGCACTTCATTTACTGGGAGTCTGGTAGACCCGAAGTATGACTCAAAGCAAATATGGCATAATACACGCTCATGATTTGTCGCCAAGCTGTATTACATATTTTTAAGCATGCTTGATAGAAACTTTGTGTAAGGCTCAAAAGAATCCCAGGGATAGAGCACCGCATGAATTTCAACTACACTGGTTCCTTCAACTTATATGTTCTTATTCACAACAAACCAAATACTGTCATGTAATGATAAAGGTATTAGATGTAATGTGCCAATTATGTTACTGAATTGGTGAACACTTAATACGTTGCCTAAACAATAATGAGGTAGAAATTTGCCCATCTATCAGAACTAAAACAGACGTATGTATTTATAACTGTATTGCTACTAAACAACTAAAAAAGTGCAGTCATGATAAGGCAGCGAAGAGTGGTGAGAAAGAGTAGGAGACGTTTCTTTCCATGTAAAGGACTTAAGTCAAAAAAGTAGCTAGTTAGAAATGCAGCGTAGTCCAACAAATTTTGGAGCACTATTCTGCAAAATAAATATATTCTACTCTTGGAAAGACAAAGTGTGGCTGATAAAAGCTATAAAAAAAACAACATCAAATGCAACTATATGTACAATTTTCGCATCAGAAGTGTTTCGGAATTTACTACTGCAAAACTTCTATGTGGAGCAAGATGGTCAGTCACATGACACTTTGACATAAGAAGTAGTGAAGTGTCGTGTCGGAAGTTCTCCAAAAGGTGTCAAGAGATTGGAACCTGTATACCACCAAAGGTTTGAGGAATTAGGTGATGCCTTACGGGAGCTACTGGGTTTAAAATTATGGTAAGTGTGAGGATCATCAGGAGATATTAAAAGACATGACTGTGTGACATTACCAAATACGTAAGGTCCATGTGTTTCTTCCGCAAACCCGCTGTCTCTTTTGGTAGATGTTTTACTGCTATCTTGCACAGAAATTTTGGAGTCATTTTTCGAAAAGTTGCGCACTAGAACAGGAGATGAAGTAAGAAGACGCGGTGCTGATTTTACTCCAGTACGATTCTCATTTAGGAAGCGGTTTTTTGAAATTGGAAGCGGACTAACAGTTAGAGAGATAAAAGACGGGCTCTCGATCAAGTTCTTTTGAGAAATCCAGTGTAAATCTTTATATGAATAGCTTGATTGTTTCCTGTGATCACTGATATTGCTTTCTGTTTTCGAAATGCTTGGGAAGAATGATGAATCGACGCCAGAACAACAGTTCTTTACAGTCTGATTATCGACTTTATTAGTTTTTCCTCCATCTGACAAGCTAAAACATCTGCGTAGATTGTTAGGAGAAACACTTTGCCGACACATCTGATAATCTTCAAATACACCGTTTTCAAAAGGGTAGTGAGTATAATATTCATTCTTTGAATTCAGTATTCGCGTAGATATCACACGTTTTTGAGGGTCGATAATCTTATCATCAAAACAAGAATGATGACTACGACGCCAGGAAAGGCGAATATGATGAAGACGACTCAAAAGCCATTTAAACAAACCGGGAGGCTGAACTAAAATGTAGAAATAAATGAGCAAACTATGCATTAATTTAAAACAATTCGCAGTTAAAATCATCTGACAAATATATATATATATATATATATATATATATATATATATATATATATATATATATATATATATATATATATATATATATGTCATGTTTCGCAAGCTAGCCGTTGTTCACTCCCAATCAGAATTTATACTGCATTTATTTTGTGAGTTCTATAAGTTGCCAACTCACGTGAGTCAGCATCAAATATGTTTCGGTTTACATCTTGATAGCTTTGTGTGCATCAATGACCATTATAGCTTCAATGCACATATCTACATACGACAGTTAATCTTCCCATTCTTAAAACATCCAAATGGGTGAAATAACTGTGCATAACATAATTCTCAAAACACTAAGTGAACTCACAAATGAAAACATAATGGAAGTTCCTGCAAATCGCATTACATAAAAGACGAATAAAAAAATGATCCGAAACTTTCCGGATAAAGAGAAAGCTTTTGAGTTTATTGAAAGAAACCCGAGGTTTATATGAGTTCATAAAAACGTGCCTTAACAGTTTTAAACAAGAAAAAAGGCTAATTGTTTAACTTGATCGTTTTCCTTTAAATTTGACAACCTGATAGTATACAGATTGCTTTAAGACAGTGGCACTGTAGTGGTGTAGATACTTTTCTTTCAGACTTTTCGACATACTATCGGGAAATTGCACAGTAAGACAACCTACTTAGGTTGCATTTAGTCAGTTGGTGACCAGTATCTACAACTATGTCTCTTTATTACCACTTAAGACACAAGTACTTTCGCCAGAATCGTACCAGCATATATAGTGACTAAAATATGGAGGCAGACAGACGAAAGAACGAAACGCATCAGCCACCTTGTGCACATCCGTATAGTAACAAATGAGCCACATCGATTTTGTAAGGTTTATTGATTCTACCTGACTGTCCTAAACTCGGTAAGATGGAGCTGGGCTCAAACCCATGACACAATAGTTGATACATATATATATATATATATATATATATATATATATATATATATATATATATATATATATATATATAGTCAGTAAAGGTATACTATAAGATTTCTCGATCTATTACCAAAAGCAAGCAGTGATCCGAGTAGTTCCAAAAGACTGAAACTACTTACTACCTTGCGACAACTTTAATACTCACTTCCATGTCGGGAATGATGGAAATTAGTATAATTATTCGCGTTAATGGTCACTTCTGTGATTATAATTATTTGTTCTTTCGGGTCCCAGTGGAACGTGCGGCCTCAGTAGCACCTCACCATGTCACTCTCTTCTCTGCAGTCTTTTCAACCTGGCTCCGCGACTGCCTACAAGCTTTCATTTCTTCTAAACACGATCTCCTCCATTGCACCCTCGGACGCCCAACTCGTCGTTTCCCCTTTGAATTCCACTCGAGGACCTGGTGCATTATGTCCTCAAATGGCCTTCTCAGTGTATGCCCAGTCCGTTCCATCCCCACTCTCTTCTGCACATTTGTCGGGGGATAGGTTCTTGGTTGGTTCGTTGCCCGGCCAGAGCTCCTTGTTGCTTATTCTGGCCATCTGATCTTCAGTATCGAGTGAGCGCAAGCGGCAACTGTTGATGAATGTCTGTAGTTTGTTGGAAGTGCTTTTTGTAACGCGCCAAGTCTCTCAACCATATAGAAGCACTGGCTTGACGTTGGTGTTGAAAATCCGGATCTTGTTCACGCTTTATGCTGAGTGCAGTAGATCTCCACACTGATTTCAGGTTAATGAAGGCCTGTCTTGGTGACTTTCCGATCCTGACTTTGACATCCTCATCTGTGCCTCCAACTGTAGTTGAAACGATGCTGCCTAGACAGGTAGGTGAAAAAGACTACTTCCTTTAGGTTTCTCCCGTTGATGAAGATTGGTGTTTGTTGTTGGTTGGGTATCTTCATCACCTCCGTCTTCTCTACGTTCCCCTGAAGTCCCGTCTTCGCTACCTCTTCTGTCAACCTCTTAGTTTTTGCCTGTAGATCTTCGAGTTTGTGCGAAATTAGACATAAATCATCGGAGAAAACCAGATCTTCTAGGGTCTTTTCATCGGTCCAGCCAGCGAATACCCTTCTTCTCGCCCCTCACAGTTTATGGCATAGTTCAGTCCAATCGTCCACAATCAGGAAGATCATCAGTGATAGTAGGCAACCTTGTCTTTCTCTTGTCTTCACTTCAAACGCATCGCTTAGCTTTCCATTGTGAATCACTCGGCATGTGGAGTCGTCATATAGCTGCTGAATGAGGTTGATAAAGGTTTGTGACACTAAAACCATAGTGTTGAAGCAGCTACCTGCCAAATTACTTCTCGGTCGACGCCGTCGAAGGCCTTTTCAAAGTCGATGAAGTTAAGGTAGAGACCCAGTTGACTGGCATTCTATGCTCTGTTCTATAATGATGTGTAGCGTAGCGTTTCAATTCGATCCGCACATGATTTGTTCTGCCTGAAGCCAGCTAGCCTGTTCCCGTCGTAATTTTGAATCTAGTGCATCTTTTAGTCTCTCCAGTACGATGCGGCTTAGTATTTTGCTTGGGGTGGATAGGAGCATGATTCCGCGCCAGCTCCTGCAAAGACTTAGGTCTCCCTTCTTTGGGGGTTTGACAATCGGCAGGTGACTTCCCTTCCTTCCAAACTTTCTGCAATAGTGGTGTGAGCATGTCCGCTGTTGCCTTTGCGTGTTTTCAGTGCTTCTGGTGCTTTCCCGGTTTTCATCAACTTTATGACGTCCAGGGCTGCACTTCTGCTTTTGTCGGATGCCATGGGTACTAATAAGAACACCTAAATCCCCAAACCCATAGGAAGTGAAGATCTGACAAATGTGGTGTAGTCCAGGTCTAAAACCTCTTTTTTAGTTGGTTGTCTTCCAGCTTCTACATTGGATGAATCTGGACGCCAGGATCTTGTGTAAGATGTTGGTCACACTTATTCTCATATGATCATTATACTTTTCTCCCATTTTTATGAAACTAGGTTAGTTTGACAGAACTGCTTGATTTCAGAGCCCTAGCTAGTTCTTCAACTCCTCAAATCAGTAGGGTAACCCCTCCATCCCTAAAGATGTCTGCTTAAAAACCACTCGGTGTTCCTGCTTTGCATGGTTTCTGGCTTGGAACAGTCTTAACTCCGATAAGATTCGGAGCACAGAAAAATACAATTCCTTCGAGTCGGTGTTTATTAAATAGCTCAAGCCACTATAGACCTTAGAAAGGTTTCACTTAAGGTTCCTATCATGTTTTATGTGGCCACCACTAACCTGTTTCTTCCCATATTTCCAATTACTGTCGTTAACAAAAACAACAGCAAACCATAACGGATCCTCTTTAACAATGGCTTATAGCGATAGAGTATACAGTTAGCATGATGGTAACGTATGCCAAGTAAGATTAAGTCTACCCTTATGTTTGAATTACTGTTCGAAAACAAATGGTTACCAAAATAATGTTGTAGGGGACGATCACTGTTGTCTTTTCCTCGGATATCCAATAATCCTTTAGGAATGACTCAGCTTCCCTACATGAATATTGATACCAGCTGTTAGTATGACTAAATCTGGACTAAATTTGTCGCGAAAGTGAAAGCTTTTGCTAAAACTTACTTTTCAGATCTGCACTCAGTGAGTGCACATGCAAAGATGTGTCAACCCCACCTTATTTCTTTCACATCTACTCATATGTATGCAAGTTCGTGTACTAGGACTCTAGCCACACCTACCGTTTGGGGGCTGATGATACTCTCTGGTTGGCTCAGCAGGTAGCGTGAAGTTGAAACCGCTCACTCATTGGATTAAGGTCAACTGTCTGGAACGAGTCTTTCGTCTATGGATGGTTGTCAACAAACATTCAAGGTTTGCTACCTGCTCTGGAACTTAATATTACACATACAACAACGAATGCACTTGAACTACTCATCAAATATCCGAGAAATCACGAATTAGATTTTGCAGATTCACCATACTGGCCAGGTCAAATGGATAACCACTTGAACTGCTTGCCTGTCCCAGGAAACCTATACATTCTTATCATTTTAATAGCTTTGCGAGTGAGATATGTTCAATTTGAAGTAGGAAGCTTCAGTGTGGTTTTAAGAGATTAGAAATTGCGTTTCGCAGGCACAGACCATTAACAGTGGGTGCAGAGTAGGAACTTGATGGTATTGTCGAAAACGTAAACTAATAATCAAGCTAGAGCGAGATATAGGAGTGTAAACAGCAGGCTACGGTTAGATGACTTTTGTATTACGCTGGGAGTGTGTGGGTAATTAGTACTCCCCGACCGCTTACACAGTCCATTATCAGCAGTTTCAACAAGAACCTCTATTTATTAAATTTTGTATTTACAAATTCAACACACTTTGAAAACAATAAGAGGACATTTGTATATTAATCCTCTTCAAGGTTTATATGATTCCCAAATTTACCATACAGTTCTTTTTTTAATTTACTCATGTGCACTTTACAGTCATTGATGCGTTCTCCAAGGTCCAAAATGTGTAACTGTACTTTTTCTTTAGCTGCTGAAAGCTCCTCTGAAATCTTATCACTAGGTAAGTGAAAAAACGTCTCACCAATGATATATCTTTTTAGTAGTTAAGGCTATTATTTGTTTTCATAAAGTCCATGAGGTATAAAATGTAACTCATAGGAAATCAAAAAACAGTTAACTTTAAAGTTTTGTACACCGGCTCAGAAAGTTTTATTAGTTGGTCGTAGATGTATCGGGGGCAGTCAGCAGAAAGCTTTGTCCTTAGGCATCGTGCTTGTAGCACTCATCAGCAAATTGACTGGATGCATTTGTAAGGACTTGAAACGGCTGTCAGAGTCACCGATGCCCACGTTCAGATATAGTCATAATGGCAGGCGACCTTAACGCTCAAGTAGGAAAACTGAGCAAATCGGAAAGCCATCTTGAACGGATCTACAGAATTCTGTGCCAATGAACTAACAATAGTGATCGTCT